ACATGCTCGGCCCCTCTGGCTTCCTCCTTCTGTGGTTCCTATCTCCACCACTGGCCAGGCCACACTAGCTCAGGGAGGATGGGGCTCTGAGCCCAGGCAACAGCTACCAGGCCTGATGGAAAAGACAGGAGAAAGAACACTGTTCCAACCAGGAAGGCAAAGCTAACAGGATGGCTGGAGGGAGCCCTGGAGGCCTCTCTGGGTGGGCAGAAAGCTCAGGAGTCCTCTGAAGGGACCCTGGGGAGTGGAGGACAGGCAGCTGCATGCAGTGGCCACAGGCTTATAAGTCTAAGAGGGGAGCCTCAGGTGGTCGGGGGACCGCAGGTCGCGTAGGTGAGGCTGGGCCCTTCCTGCTGGGGAAAAGCAGAAGAATGAGAGTCAGCGGCAGGGACAGAGTGGCAGGCGGGTTCGCTGGGCGAGTTCCGTGGCCCAGCCGGGACGGAACTCAGAGAGGCTGACCGGCCCAGGTCAGCAGACACTGCCGTCCCCCTGGCTGGAAAGTGTGGGCCGCCTCTGGGAGCAACAGGCCCCGGTCTGTGAGCCCTGGGGCTGGCTGGGTGCTGCACCTGGGGCTGAGAACGCTGCCTTCAGTCGTGCACTCCCAGGCGTGACAACACCAAGGAGGCAGGGGAAGGGGCTGCGGGACCCTGCCTCGCCTGTGAGGTGTGTTCTGGGCTGATGGTGTGGATAGGACCCCGAGGCTTTCAGAAATCATCAACCAACCAGAGCCTTCTCCCCAGATCACTGCACAACAGAGGTGGGACTCTGCCCTCTGGTGGATTCGGGTCCTATTGCTCCACGGCTGCGAGCTGGCCGTCCTGCCCCAGCAGCTCGGCTCTGACTGGGGAGCGAGTATGGCACCCCAGGGTGAAGTTCCAAGGCTGCCTGAGCCCAAGCTCCCTGCCCCTACACCCTAAGCCACGAGCTCTCTGCCCTCTGGCCGCGCTGGAGAACACCCACGTCTGCCAGCTCGGGTGCGGAGCCTGTCCCGAGAGCCCCCCAGGCTCAGCCACGGGGATCCCGGGCAGTGGCACTGAGTCCCGAGGCTCGCTGAGAAGGGAGGTGAGAGAGCAGCTGGCAGTGAGGACAGAAGGAGGAAAGAATAAGTCTGGAGCTGCAGAAGGGAGAGGGCGGGAGCCTGGCTCTGCAGTCCTAGGTGTGCCCCCCATGTGGAGCTGGTGCAGCAGGGGCAGACACACCACTCATGCAGCAGGCCAAGAGGCATGTACCTACCGTGGCTGACGCTCCTCAGGGGTCACTGATAGTGATTCTGAAAGACAGCACGAAATCAACATGGCAGTTCACACGCACGGACAGGGCGGGCCTGGGGGTGGCGGACACGCTCACACACACGCACGGGCGTGCACACAATGCTGTGAGGCCCCACAGCCCCGCATGCACACGCTGACACACATGCCCACAAACGACACGCATACACCTCTCCCACCTCCCACTGCCCCGCACCCGCACTGGCTGGCACGTGCAGCATGGATCCGGGGCATGCAGCCACTTGGCACACTGAAGCACGCGTGTGGCCCGAGTCACAACACAGAAGCTCGCCCGCATACAGGAGGCATGTGCACCAGCTCCCTGCACACTCATGCCTGGCGTGCTCAGAGGGCCGTCTGCAATGCTCCATAGGAATAGGTTTTGCTTTCTGAGGGTCCAGTTGTCATTTCTCTGCCCAAGAGCCTTCCATGGCTCCCTGTTGCCCACCGTGTTGAGTCCTAACAAGTCCAACTTTTCTGTGGACTCTGAGGGTTCTTCAAGCCGCCCCGTTGTACCTAGGGCAACCTTTGCTTATTCTTCCTCGTTCCATCTGCACTCTGCTGCGGCCAGCGGCTCTCCTCTCTCCTCAATGCGCCCCACACCAAGCCTTTGCCCACACTGCCGCTCCCTACCCAAATGCCTCCCAACCCTGACGACCCAAGTCTTATCTCAGTCAGCACCATGACCTCACTGAGGTCAAGCTGCCCTGAGACGCCCTGAGACTGCTCTCGTCCCTGAGGCAAATGTTTCCTGCGTGTTAGCAAAACGGGAGTTAGAGCAGGTACCAAATCTTCAAGTTCCCGTATGTCAGACCTCAGCACAGACCTGGGCATGTCAAATACCCTGAAGAATCTGAACTCACGTTGGAAGTTAGCCAAGTGCTCGTAGAGCCACCTTTGTGGTTCAGGAGGCATTCCTCTAGCCACTGTCTCCCTTGAGCCCCACACCAACCCTGGGGAAAAGGCAGAATGTTAATTATCATTTGGTCGAAGGGAGACTGAGGCCTGGGAAGGGAAAACGACTTGTCTACAGGCCAGAGTGAACCAGAGCCTCTGAACTGCTCTTGATCAGTTCTACCTGCTTTGCCCCATCTGCTTTGACCACAGGTCACCATAGAGCAAGCCTCGTCGCTGCTGCATTTCGGGCTCATGAAGGCTGGACCCATGACCCTACCCTCCAGCCATCTGGAAACATAAATAGACGCTGTTGGTCTGATTTGTGCTTCCTCAGACAACATGTCCAGTGGGAACAGGGCAGACTGTTAGATATCAGAGTGAGCTTCCTTTAAAGAGGGTCATGGATCGAGAAGCAAAGCCAAGGGATGAAGTAGAATCCTTTTCCCTGAAAACCTCTGGGAAAGGGTCAGCCTTCACCCACTCCTGTCCCACACTCACCATGTTGGCCCAGGACAGGCAGGGCCAGAGGCAGGGGAAAGGAAGAAAGCCATCAGCTTGTCCCATGGCTCCCAGGCCCTTTCCCAGCTGCTCCATGTCCTACCTCTGGCCTGGGTGCCATTCTCACACTCACACCCGTGTGCACGCCCACACACACATCACACACCTCGCTGGTCACAGTCACAGCCTGGCCTCTCTCCCGTGAGTCAGAGGCGGGACACCCTCCTGGGACAGCTCAAAAGAGTCAGGAGGTGGGGACATCAGGGTAGCCCTGCGTGTAAGTGAACAACAGCTACACATTCCAGGATGACCTGGGTTCAGATCCTCAGACCTGAGGCAGGCTCACTAGGGACTGGGTGAGAGAAGTGGAGGACAAATGGAGAAGGGGGAGGAAGGAGGAATGCAATATGTGACAGATAGAGTGGAAAAGGAGGGAAGCGCCATGCAAGTGCTGGAAAGAAGGGGGCAGGTGGGAGGAGCCCCACCGCCCCCTCCCCAGAAACGACCACCTCCGGGACTCAGCGCTCCCTAGGGGGCAGGCTCCGCCAGCCCTCGGCCCCGGCCACACCTCCGGGCTCCGGCACCCTCGAGGGCCGGCTCTGGCGGCCAGGGCGGACGCTGCAGAATCCAGCCACATCTCCCTCCCGGCCACGCCCGCCCGGCGGTCTCTTCCGCGGCTTTCAACCCCTACTCACCTGGGGACCCCGGGCGGGGCACGGTTGGGGCGCGAGGGCACCTGGGGGGGAGGACCGAAGGGGTCAGGGGAAAGCCCCCGGCCTGGAGGGCACGGGGGGCGCCGCCCCCAGGGCGGACCCAGCAGGCGGAGGCCCAGGAGCAGGGCCCCGCGACCCGGGCCGGGCTGGGGGCACGGCGGGGGCTCGGCGCTGCGGCGTGGGGCTGGACGTGGGTGACCTGCGGGCGAAGGGAGCCGAGGACAGAGGCGAGAGATGAGCGGCTCCGCCCCA